TCTTCAGATTCATAAGATTAAAATAGCAAATATCCCGATAGACCGACGCATACCAAAGAGAGTGCGGAAGAAACCAAAGGGCTTTTCTTCTTGCGTATTGACTGAAGCAAAGCCTTTGTTAATCTTATTCGAAACATCTGCATAAACCCAAAAAGATAAATAAATCATAAAGAGCATTCCTCTTACTTCAATGGAGTATACAAAACCCAAAAAAGACATCTTTTTCATATCTAAACACTTAAAAAACAAGAATTCACACAGACAAAGCTAGTTTTGTTACCAGAAACACTAGCTGAAGAGCTCTTTACATCAACAGAGAGAGTAAGAGGAGCCATCTCTGACCTAATTCACCAAAAATCAATTTCATTACATCGAAACAACAACAAAAACCACTACCAAACTAGTCAAAGTAAGTGAAGAATATACAATACAGCATACACAAGTATTCAACACATACAGAAACAACGCACAAATGTATATAGATAAACTGTAGCCAGTGCCACGGGAAGAAACGATAGAGGCGCGAAGTGTACCAGAGGAGGGGAGAGAGAGAGAGTTCACCTTCTTTGGTTCTTCTGAATTTTCTCTGAGGAAGAAGGGATTAGGACCATTTTTATTTACAGTTGTGTCCTAATCCAAATGGGCCTTAAAGGATCCACTAGGCCCATTAGAAAGTAATGAGACATTAAACTCTCATTATAATGGCGTTTAACTACCTTAATCTATATATTTACCAACAGCACAAACTTCTTAATTTTTTGCAAGTTTTACTATAATGATTGTATATCTAGGTGATGCACATTTTTCCGTAAGCTATATTGTTAGTGGATAATTAGAAATTGTTAGTTCATCTAATCTAATGGTAGAACTAGAAGAGATGTGTTAGTAGAGGCATTTGAACGCAGAACAAAGATCCAAATTTGAAGCAGAACCATAACATAATTACAAGAAAGTTACATCCTTCAATGTCTGATTCTAATACTAAGAGAAATCACTAGCCTTCTTTGTGGTTTCAAACGCAGTCATGGACTTTGCCTGCTCGAGAGCGATTTTGTCTTTAACTCGACATAGCTTACCCGATGTTCTTTATAACCAAATGCCATGTTACTCCCAGGAGCAAAACTTGAAGTGATGAAGCATTGAGCAGGATGAAATTACTCGCAGGGATGTCGAAAAATGACTTATTTCCCACGAGTAAATTTACCTTTGAATGTGTTTTGAAGTCGTTCTCGGGATTTGGCTTGAGCAGACAATGCAACATCATCAAGAAATCCTTTTTGTGGGAATTCTTCAGGTACAAGACTCCAATAGATCTCAAACTGTTGAGCTGCTTCCTCTTTTTTGTCCATTAAGCTATACACAATGCCCTGAAAACAAATACCAGCAATTTCTTCAACTCTCAATAGCAAAGGATAAAGCTAATTCCCTTTTACTCGTTATCCGATAACTGAGAGATGACTTTTGTGAAGCAAAAGATCATTCTTTTCATAACCAAACTTTACCTGGCAAAGGTAAGGTCGGAAATCTCGAGGGTTATCTTTAACCATCTGTTGAAATATCTTTAGACCTTCTTCAAACTGACCCTGAGATTTTAAACCAATTTTATCAGTACATACAACAATCCATTATTCCTATGCGTACTAAAAGATTTATTCGAAAGATCAAAACCACTCAAGGAGGAAGTTTAGGATTACGCGTTCTTACCTTCACAATATGCATTTGGCCGATCAAGACTTGTATGTTTCTCTCCTCGGTTACTCGGTTTCCTTGTCGAGCAACTTCCATAGCTTCCTTGAGCATATCAAAGACAGAGGAATCATGACTCTTGTGCATTACCATAGCAAGACCCTGCAAGAAACAAGACAAGACCAAAAGTGAATCCTTTTGTAAATGAGCAATTAATCAAGATACTGCAACATCGAAATCAAGGCACAATTCTATAATCCAAGAGAAGCAGCAAAAGGTGAGAAAGACATACGTGCAAAGCTCGGATCAAAAGAGGTTGCTCTTCGAGAATGTCCTTAAACAATCTCTTAGCTTTGCTCAATTGTCCCATTGTCTCATAACAAAACGCTTCCAAAAGCTTCCATTCAACATCATGAGGCTCTAATTTCATTAGCTTCTCAACATATTTCACAGCATCTTCAGTTTTCCCTCTCCTCATCTTCTTATACAAAACAGCTTTCATTGCTTCCATGTTCTCTGGCTCATTCTCTAGAAGCTTCTCGAACATTTCCTCTTCCTCTAACTCCGCTTGAGAGCTCACAGTTGTTGCAGTTGGTAGAGCTAAAACAGGCTTCGAAGAACAGAAGAAACCTAGAAACAAAAACGACCCAAGGAGCAAAATCGCAGCTTTTCTCGCGAGAATCTTGACGAAATCATTGGAAGGAAGGGACCTCGAAGAGAGTATAAGAGGGAGATGTGAAGAAGGTGAAGCGAAATTGACGGATTTGGAGAGTTTAGAAGCGAAAGGTTTGGAATTTCTCAATCGAAATGGAAACCCATTTGGATTACGCAAATGGGTCGGAGTAAAAATCTGTGCTTTATACCGGCGATGATGGAATTTCGGCGGAGAAGAGAGACCCAATACTCCGATTGAGCACATTCTATTACCTCTGTCTTTTAGAGAGTGTTAGTAAATTTTGTCGAGAAAACCCATAAACCCCTTTCACGAGCGTCTTATAAATTTTCCTTCTTTGTGGTTGATATCGAGTTATTGGGTATTGGAGACTGCATCAGACACTCTATATTCAATTAATATCCATCCATTACAATTGAATCTCTTACCAAGAGTTGAGCAAAGCAGAAACTGAAGATTAATGGCTCTGATAAATTATGGACTTGTAGCGCTTAAAAAGGTTATATAAACACATTGAGAAAGTAGACTCATTTGGTTGGGTGTGGTCATTTGATTCCTTGTGGTCGTACTATAAATCCGAAAAAGAAAAACAAACGAAGAAGCAGACTCTGATCTTTTAGCAACATCGGAGAACTTTTGGCCTTCTTGTCTCAATTCAAAAAGTAGTTGAGAACAAAGGTTTCGCGGTGGATCTTAATGCACGGACCGGAATAGCATAATGCTGCTGGAAAATTACCAGACTTCCCTGTAGCTGCGTAGTGATAAAACAATAAAATGATGTTAATAGTGAGTCAGATCAGAGACAAGTACTAGTAGTATACTTTTTCACAAGCTTTCATCAGAATTAATCAGATTACTACTTGTGATCTATTAAAGCTATCATCTTGTCCAAGTTTGAAAGACTAAGATTCTGATCGGTAACATATGCATAATCGCGTAATGACAGAAAATAACTTTTTTGCGGAATGAAATAATCTACGGAATAAAAAATTGTCAAATTAAAATATTTGTGTGATTGGATAAATTAACGGAGTAAATTTATTATATTTTTAAATTTCCTAGAACTAATAAACAAATAACATTTTAAAACAATTCTCAGCATACTTAAACATTATTTAATAAAATATACAAAATATTAAAATATATTTAAAATTATGAAAAATTGTGTCATATTTTAGATATTAAAGATAGGCAGAAAATGTACGCAATTATTATATTTTTGAAGAAGTTTAACAAATTTACGTTCACGTGTATCCATAAATGCTTCTTAATTGTGTTGGTCAAAGAACTAGGTTAGACCCGGTGCAATAATTGTTTGTAAAATAATTTATTTAAAATTTAAATTATGATTTATATAAACACTTATTTAATGTGTTTTATATTTATTTTTGTTGTTGAATAATAATTAAATTAAATTTTGAGTATTTGGTCGATTTTCAACTCATACGATTATAATTGATATCTTTTTAAAAATTGTAAGTTGTTTATTACACATGAAATGAAATTAAGCAGAAGAAATGCTCTTCCTAATATTTGAGAACCTTCAAACAAATTAAGTAGAAGAAATGCTCTTCCTAATAATTTTTTTAGCATGGTAATTTTTTATATATTTATCCATGCGGCATTATATATATAAACAAAAATGCTCTTCCTACCTAGTAGGTAGTACCTACAACAAACAACATTTTAAGTCATGTTTGGAGACTAAACTAATCACATTACATTGATATTAGAGAACAAAACGATTAGCTCTCCGTTGTTTGATTTTTGCAAATTGTAAACACACATGTTTTTATTGAATCTCCATTTTTCTTTCAAGAGTCATAAAATTTAGTAGTGAAATATCCCCACCAAACACATAGAAAAATAATATTATTGCAATAATTAGATAAGTCATAAACATACAAAATAAAAACAACATCAATATATATTTACTCTATGTTTTATAAAACAATAATGATATGTTAGGCTGCGGTTATTATTTTTCATCTGATGGTGAGGTTATTTGAATATATATAAAGAGTTTATATAAATAATTTAGGCTATAAATTAATTGATTTGAAAATTTTAATTTTAACATGGTTTACTGAGTTATTATAGGCTAAATTTTTGGAAACAATAAAATATATTAAAGATTTAGTAACAGTAATAGAATAATGCATTTTGTAGTAAATCTCGCAAATATTATGTTGAATTATTAGGAGTTAATAGTATTGCCATTAATAAATCAAATAATCAAAGAAGAACATTAATTATATCATCTAAAAAGGCAGAATTTATGGGATCAAAAGAATGAACAATGCTTAGAATTAAATGAATAAAGAATAAAAAATTAATAAATTATATGTTAGATAATGAATTATTAATAAATTATATGTTAGATAATGAATTAGTTCATTAGGTAATATATAGCCTAATTTYCCTAGTTTAATTGCTAAATGATTTATTTWWGTGCTAAAT